TTTTTTCTCAGTCTAACACACCTAAAGGGACCAGGAGCAGGAGGGAAAGGCCAGGGAAGGGAAGAAGATCAGATCACACTCTTCCCTTCCTTACTGTGGGTGTCCAAGCCAGAGATAGGCAGACCCAAGCTGGGCTAGGGAGGAGTTTTGAAGTAGATGTGAGACTGCAGTTTTAAATTCAAGAACTGGACTGGATGGAGTTTTAACATCTAAAAGAGAGTCTAAATTATTGAGAAGATGCTTGTTCTTATAATCAATAACCCAAAAGCTATTCAATCTGCCATGCAACCATCAGGGGTCAGGGAAGGAAGTGAGCCACAGACAAACTTGGAACAAAGCAAAGCTATTTTTTGTTTATGCTTCATTGAGTTCTATCTGCCAGTTCTGCTTTGTGGGGCTCCTCTGGGCATCTCTAAGAATCAGGGTGTAAACAGTGTGCAGTGAGTTGGCCAGAAGCTTCCAACACAATAACAGAGCGACAGAGGGACTCCTCAGTTACCTGCAGGGCCAAAGCAGCCTGTGAGTGGAGGTGGTAGGAGGTTGGCTAGAGAGTGCATCTCTCAGTTAATGTGGACAGAGATCCACAGTGGCTCCCCCAAAACCTATGACAGGACCCCTGGCCCCAGCATTTGGGTGACAGTCATAGCAGAAGGCATTGATAGCTAGGAGAAGCCCCCAGTGAGTACCAGTTGGTCGAATGACTCTTGCCTTTCCTCCTCCACTGTCTCCCACCCCCAACCCTGGAGGAGCCAGAAAAGGAAGGAGAAAAAGCTGACCCTACCCCTCTTTCCCAGAGCAAATTTTAAGCCACAAGGAGGAAGAAGCCCTGACTTAGATGTGAGATTGAAGTTTTAAATTGGACTGAACTGTACTTTTTAATAGCTGAGAATGAGCTGTAATTATTCAACCAAGACTGATGTGATGGGTGAACATGGCCAGATGCTGTGGGATTTCCTCTGAAGACATCATCATCAGAACAGGAAGAGTTGGACAGAGAACTCTGAAGGCGATTTTTCAAAGTAAGTAAAAATACAGCTAGTTTCCACGTGTACCTCAATAAGTTCGTTCCTACTCAGTAAATGGGCTAAAGGAAAATGGATACAACACCAGTTTCATAGAGTTATTATCATGAAGGTTAAATGAGTTCACATACCTAAAAATGATTCACATCGTCCCTGACAAGTAATGTAAATATAAATCATACAACATGTAACAAATATCTGAGGGCTTATTCTGTGCCAGGCATTGTTCCGGGTGTAGGGGATGCATAATGAACAAAAAAGTCCTCATAGAGCTTTCATTCTAGAGGAGACAGACAAAACAAAATCATTATGTATATATAATGCTTCTCTATACTCACATGGTAGGTGTAGATATAGATATAGATACCGATATTTGGCAAGCCTAGAATAGCAGTAGGGAAAGTTAGCTATATATCTGTAGAGAGAGAGAAAACTATACTGTATAAATATATCTATTTCAAGTCATGATAAATGCTATAAAGAAAAATAAAGCACGGTAAGGAAATACAGGAGGTAAGATGGAATGAGGCCCTCATTTAGAGAATGATGATTTTTTTGATGGGCAGAGCACTTTATAGTTTCAAAAAACACCCTCATAAGCACTGTCTCATTTTATCCCTAGTTTCGTGAGGGATTATTCCTGTCTAAAGATAAGGAAATGCGAGCTCAGAAAAGTTCAATGACTCCAAGTCGGGTGACTTTTTATTACCCTTAACAGAGAAAGCAGGTACAAGACCAGTTCAGCTAGAAGCTTTCACATTCTCTACACTCCCTAAATTAATTCTGGGACCCAAAGTCAATACAGCGTTACTGGAAGTTGGTGCTTATGGGGCTTGGCCAGAGACTTGGAAAGAGGATTTATATTTCAGATCTTACTTGCAGCGAAGCAATGGCTGCCACCCACTTTATGAAGAATGGTATCCCAACCAGGTCACCCTGGGGAACAGCTTCAGCATTGATCTCTGTATTGCCTCAGCCCACTTGCAAGCTGGGTAGAGACTACTACTGATATATTTGTTCTCCAAAAGCTAAGCTGAAATATTAAACCTCATCTGCTCTAAGTTAAAAGTTCATCAATGAATCATAAGTTTGGATGGATCTGCTCAAAGGAAGACTGTCCACGATTTCACCTCAAAGTTTCACAGAACAACTAGTCCCTTTCTCTCAAGGAGATGACAGCTGCAGCATGCTGGAATCCTCAGGAAAGGCAAATGTGTCTGGGATTTCAATCCAGCAAGCTCAGTGTGGAAACCCTTAGCAGGCAGCTCCTGTCCTCTGTGGCTGGAAGGACAGCCCCAGTTCCCAGTCCATTCGAAATTGATGGCAAGGCAGCTGCACAGAGCATTTGCATTTGTGCTCTTAATGCCATTTGAGTATTTCCTTGTTTTCAGGCTGAAGATAAGATGGAGTTTAGATTTTTTTTTTTAATGACTATTTTGGAAGCAGCTGGCAGTATAATTCTTAGGGAGAAAATGTATTGTTCGGAAAAATAATTTGACAAGCTATTTGGGGTAAGTGAGATACCTCTACGGGCATAGATGTCAGCAGAAACCAAAGATTGCAGAAGAGAGACATTTGGTGGGGGGTGTCTCAAGGAGGAGGGGGAGAGGAGAATGAGGAGAAGGGAGATGGAAGAGGAAAAAAGGGAGACAGCAGGGTGGAGAAGGGCTGGGACTAGTTTTGGGAACCAGCAGGGGCGGGACCAGTAAGCCCCCACTGTGGTGAAGAGACTGAAGAGCATTTTGAAGTGGGGTATGTCTGTTCCGTAGGACCCTGTTTGGGAAGTAAACCCTGTTTGGGATGTAAACCTCTCCTACAAATCTCACTCTACTGGGATCACAGAGGCTTCCTGTGGGCTGTCTTGTGAAAAGCAAAGGGGGTGCTGAGTTTCCTCCTTGACTCACTGCAGTATAACACAGGACTGTCTGATAGAACTTTCTGTGATGCTGGGAACGTTCCATTCTGCACTGCCCAATATGGTAGCTTCTAGTCACATGTGGCTCTTGAGTATTTGAAATGTGGTTAATACAACTGCTAGTGAACTGAAGTTTTTATTTTGTTTAACTTTAAGTTAAACAGCCACACATGGCTAATGACCAGAAGGAAGAGTCCCAAGTCAAGGTGACCCTGAGAATGCAAATGCTTTGAGATTTGCTGAAGTCTTGGGGCAGGCTTGAGACTTAAACTGAAAATGGGACTGGGGTGCTGAGGTGAAGGCGTGAGCTTAAACTGATTTTACCCAGATCAGGAGGTCAAGAAAACCACAAGCTAATAGGGTTACAAAAGTAGTTGAGAAAAAGAGAATAGAGGCTTCTTATGCAGGCAAATCCAAGTTTCTAAAAGTGGTGAGGGTTCTTGTTTGTTTTGCAGAATATAAGCTAACAAATATCTATTTATGTCTATGCACAGACATCTCACGCGGAATTCATAACAGCAACAGTTGTAATAGCACATGGTAGGTGCTTAATAAATGTCTGAGTTACTGGATGACTGAGTAAACAGTACCTTCCATCATCCACCGACATCATCTTAGTTGACTCTTGCAACATCCCCCTGAGGAAGCTGGGGCAGCTGAGGCTCAGAGAGGTTAGATAATAAGTCCAGGAAACTGAGGATTCCTGGTCTTTTGGTTCACCTAACCTGTCCCCCAGCCCGTACGTAAGAGCCTCATTTGGGCTCTCCACTGTGGCCTCTGCGAGGGGGTTTGTAGGTGCCACTGAATATTCCAGGACCGCAAACACCTGACCAAGCTCTGGTAGCGTACACATCCACAGTGTGTGCTCTCCCTTCTCCCACCTGCTGAGGGGCACCTCCATAGCAGAGCCATACCGAGTTCCTTTCTGGGTCCCCACTGCCACTACTTAACACAGGGCCTGCCACACAGCCAGTCTCTACCAATACTGAAGGACTGAAGAAATGAATGAAAGAAATAGTCAAAGGTGGTTTCTCCATTGACTTTTAAAAAACATCCCTTTCACTTTGGAGAAATTGTGTTAATCAACACAAAAACATTTTTTCCTCCCCAAGTCATCATAGAGCATCCTCCCAATTTATTGAATGGAGCCATTTCTCAGCCACTCCGTTTTTGGGCTCTCCAGGGTGGTTGGCCCAGCCCTAACACTGCTCTTTGTTTTTTCCTACTGATGATTTATCTGTTGGGGATCTGAAAAGGGAATTCCTGAAACTCATACACTGACCTCTTTCTGCCATTTCAGCCCTTCGTATTCCTGCACTCAGAAAACTGATAAAGAATCTTGGTACAGAACAAGCCTATTTTTGTTAGCAGATGCAGGAAAAATTACACGTAGAAAAATGAAGCTAACAAAAGGAGGAAGGGTTTAGGTGTATTGACTCAAATTGGGTGTTTTTTTGGTGTAAAATGCAGATTTTTAGCCATCGAATAAATAAATGATCAGTCTTAAAGAATGTCCCAACAGCTTTCCTTGGCCTATTAAATGGGAATGATCAGTGCTAACAATTTTTTGTAGACATGGCTCTAAATGTGGATTGTATTTTTATTATAAGGTGGAAAGAGAACAGTTAGGACTGTGGTGATAATGCAAATAGTACCCCTCCTTGCAGAGGACTCCCACACCTCCAATCTAAGGATACAGGGCCATTTCCAGTTTCTCCAAGCATCTACATGACTAAGCCAAGAAGGTTGCCTGTCCCAGGTTGATTGACATCCGTGTAACACACTTTTGAGTTCAATATTTGCCCCTCAGAGAAAATAAGTTGCTTTGTGAAAATTAAGTACTGAGGAAATTCAAGTTAGACATACCCTTCTTACTTTACAATGTTTTTGAATTGTTTGAAATTTTGATAGCAAAGTATTACAGTGAAGTTGAAGTTGTCAAAGTACCAAAGTAAGTACTTTGATAACTTAAAAAAAAAAATAGCTAAAATGCTTTAAAACCGTGTATAAATGACTTAAAGTTGGGGTGGTGGGGAGGACAAGCCTGATGAGGTTGGACTCACCTTTCCAAAGCTGGCAGCATTGACAGGTTGGGTATCATTCTTCTCGCAGAAATCCAGGTAATGCATATAGAGGGCACTGCGAGGGATGCAGACCCCCTCTGCAATCTCATAGTTCTCCTCCAGCCTAGGGAAATAAACGCCCAATGAGCAAAAACTGTGTTACCTTCCCCAAGCAAGAACGGTCTGTTCTTTCTAGTCCTCCAGAGATGGGCAGACCTTAAAAATAGCTTTCTTTCTACAGGTGGAGAAGCTGGGGCCCAGGAAGGCAAAGCAAGCTACCCAAGGTCAAGCCTGGCATGAGTGGCTTGGCAGTGTCAGAATCCTGGCCCCTTTGGGTATAACACGAGGCTACTTTTTCAGCCCAAATTCCCAGATCCTCTACTCTGTACTGTTATTGGCCTGGCCTTGTTCTGGCTAGATCAGATACCTGCAAACTCCAAAAACTACATAGGGTCTTGTGGATGCCCCAATCAGCCAAGAATGAACCACAGACCCACTTGAGGAGCCACTTGTAATAGCTAAAAGCCAAAGGAGGATGTGTCAACATCTTGGAGCTCCTTGGCTGACAAACGCAATGGAGGGGGATTGTCTGGAAAACCAATGCCCTGAGAGAGGCCTATACAGCTGTACAGCCACTAATCTGCTGACTGAAGGGAGGTCTCATGACCAGAGAAGGAAGTTGGCTCCGTGATTACTTTAGAATCCTCTTCTTCTCTGCTGTGCTAGGGGTAATGATTCTATACCCATTACCTTCTTACTGAGTCTCTGTTAGGAATTCTATAGGAGAGATTTTCTACAACTGGGTTTACATCCCAGCCTTGTCACTTGCTGGCTTGGTGACGTTGGGCAAGTTACTTAATGAAGCTCAGGCCTCAGTTTCCTTTTGGAGGGACTGAATTGTAAGTGCCTTCTAAAGTGGTTATAATGATTAGATGAGGTAATGTGTGACAAGCATCCGCATCGTGCCTGGCACGTGCATGGGAAGCACTGAGAAGACGTCAGACCTCCTCATAATTCATTCTTCCTCTCCAGAAAACATTTTTGGGCACGATATGTCCTGACTCTGTGCTAGATATTGGGGATATAAACAAAAATTAGATACAGGGTTTAAATAATTTATTATTCTTTAACCCAAACACCAGAATGTAGGCATCCAAATGTATCTTGCCTCCATTGTCCTAGGCACTCTGGAAGTTAAATACCTTTCCCAAGAAAACTGCTGTGGCACAAGGCAATTTGGGAACTTCTCTTAGGGTCATGCCTTCGAAGCCTGGGGCACCTACTGCTAAATCAACTCATCAACAGAAACATTTCTCCTTTGATCATTAACTAGATTTTAGGAAACAACCCAAAGTGATTTGGAAGCAAGTTTGGGGGATAAAGTAACTGGAAACCCATCCCCCAGCCCCAATTTTTTGGGTCAAAAATAAGGCGTAATTCCAAAGTGATGAAACAAATGTCCTCAAGTGGCTTCAAAACTCCCTCTGAGAGCATTTGCCAAAGAAGTGGCCCAGCACTGTCGTAAGTGAAGTGGAATGAGGACACGGCCCCCCAAGGTGCCCACTTGAAAGGGCAGCGCTTGTTCAACTCATTCCAACATGTGATTGCAAGAACATCAGTTCAATCATTTCATATCCAAACCCCGCAGAGGGGGAACACAACCCTAGGGACACAGACCTGTCAGCACCAAGACAAAACCTGGTGCCGAACAGTCCCCGATCATCTCATCCACTCCCCGTCTTCTGGGATAGGGAACACTGAGTAACTTGGGATGGTTGTTAGAAATGTTCCCAGAAACAGTTGATGTAATCCTTTCTAGGTGATCAAATTCCTTGAGGCTGGGATAGTGTCTGAGTCACTTCTGCATCCTTGAGATACAGCATATTCCTTGGCACACAGTAGGTGGTCAGTAAGTGTCTTATGGATAGATTATTTCAGTCATTTATTCATTCAACAAATATTTATTGATCTTATCACCTGCCAGGCACTGGGGATATCACAATGAGCAAGATAGTTCATGTTTGCATACAGTGAACAGATTAATGGTAGACAGATGGACAAAGACATAGATAACCTTTAACTCAACAAGTATTTACTAAGTGCCAGGCGATGTTCTAGATATTAAGGAAACAGTGGTGAACAAAACAATGGTCCTGTCCTGAACAGGCTTACATTCTGATGTATGTCTCTGACATCATAAATTGGAATTCTAAGTGTGTTTTCCGGTGGGAAAAGGGTTTCACATAAAGAACAGGTTTCTTAGGACTGTCCTAAGCTTCAGGTCCAGTATGAATGAAAATCAGCCTGGGAGGTTAGCCTGGACCCCTAACTGCCATTCACGGCATTGTTTCTCTATAAAAGTGAGTTCAGAGGTCCAAATAACCAGCTCGCGTACAAACTTGTAGGGGCCATCTGAATAAGACAGCTTTCTCAAACTGGGGTCTCACAGACATGCTTTGTTTTGGCCTGAACAGTGTTGGCCCAATTTTTAAAATTCAGGACATTGCACATAAGAATCTGGATTTCTGGCTTCTTTTGAAAAAGCTGAGATCTGGCAACACTGGACCCATATTCCCGCACGACAACAATTGGCCAGAGCTACATGTGCCCTGGAGTTGGCCAGAGTCCTCACTCCTCCCTATTTCTTTGTACCCTGTCTATTTTCTGTTCCTTGTCTGGCTCCTGTAGGCACTTGTATTGGCATAAGACATGATCTATGTCCTAGTTAACTTTGCAGTCTATCTGGGGAGAAGCATGCATAAGAAATAATATTTAATTACTATAAACTCATGACCATAGGTATAGTTGAAGGTGGGAAAACAGAGAGATTGATGTGTAGATGAGAGTAGATAATTAAAGTTTCATGGAAGAATTGGGTTTGGAATTGTGTAACAACAAACAACAACAACAGCTAGCATCTGTTGAGCTCTTACTAGGTGCTGGGCCCTGGGTATCCATGGTCTCATTTGATCTCACAATAACTGTATGGTATGAGGTAGGTATTTATACATATGTTTCAGGATAGGAGTCTGAGGCTCAGAGGGTGTAACTCATTTGCCCAGTCATGCAGCTAGTAAATAGGAGGGTTTGTCTCAGTCCAAACCTCTCTGGTATTCTGCCATAGTAGTTGGGGGAGGAAGGGAGGTTCCAGGCAAGTAGAACAGCGAGGATGGGAGACAGTGCCATGTGTTTTGAATGATGGAGATGCCGATCCAAGTGGAGAGAGAAGGAAGGGGTATCTAAAGGGAAGAACCATGGGAGGTGGAGGGAGTGTTTAAATGTCACACAAATGGATATTATTTGGCTTACGAATTTAGCACTCCCTTGGAGTTGAAGAGTTACTATAAAAATGTTATTTTCAGAAGAAGGCAGTAGAGTTGTACCCAGGAGGACTGAAAGAAACAAAGACTCGGGCCGGGCGCGGTGGCTCAAGCCTGTAATCCCAGCACTTTGGGAGGCCGAGACGGGCGGATCACGAGGTCAGGAGATCGAGACCATCCTGGCTAACACGGTGAAACCCCGTCTCTATTAAAAAATACAAAAAACTAGCCGGGCGAAGTGGCGGGCGCCTGTAGTCCCAGCTACTCGGGAGGCTGAGGCAGGAGAATGGCGTAAACCCGGGAGGCGGAGCTTGCAGTGAGCTGAGATCCGGCCACTGCACTCCAGCCTGGGCAAGAGAGCCAGACTCCGCCTCAAAAAAAAAAAAAAAAAAAAAAAAGAAACAAAGACTCTTCTTCCAGGATGCTATAGGAATAATAATAATGATAATGATAATAGTATCATCAATAACAACAATAACTGACATTAATTTAAACAAATTTAATTTAATAATAGTTTAATAATTTAAACAATAATTTAAAGCTTAATATGTTCTATTTGCCAGGAATGGCTTGAGTATAATAAAAGAACGTCAAACAACAAAAACAACAACGAAACACCTGTCTCATAGGTGTCATCTTAGACTTTTTTTTTTTTCTTTTGAGACAGAGTCTCACTCTGTCACCCAGGCTGGAGTGAAGTGGTGCCATCTTGGCTCACTGCAACCTCCGCCTCCCGGGTTCAAGCAATTCTCCTGCCTCAGTCTCCTGAGTAGCTGGGATTACAGGTACCCACCACTATACCTGGCTAATTTTTGTATTTTTAGTAAAGATGAGGTTTCTCCATGTTGGCCAGGCTGGTCTCAAACTCCTGACCTCAAATGATCCTCCCCCCTTAGCCTCCCAAAGTGCTGGGATTACAGGCATGAGCCACCGTGCCTGGCCATCTTTGACTTTTGAGAGTTCCATTAAGCAGTTTTTAAAAGAGATTTGACTTCAACACTTGTAGTGGAACATTTTCCATTCTCATGCATACGTAAGAACAATTTGGGCAACTGCAATTTTGTGTATGACAAGTTGTGGGGAAGATAAAAGTATCCCTTTTTGCTTATTTTTGCTAATGGCTTCCTAGAATTTTTTTTGGCTAAAAAAAAAATCCATGAACATACTAAACAAATGTGCATTTCAAACCATTCAGAATTCATCTTGCATATGATTATTTAAATTGATAGAAATCCTTTAAAACCAATTAGATTCTTTTTTAAGCATGGGAGTGGCATGCTCAATGCATTCTTTGGAAAGTTTGCTCTGCGCCTCTAGGGGAGGTGGCCCAGGAAGACGATCAAAGCCTGGCACGTAGTGGCTGATTAATTAGGACTTGTTGAATGAATGAATGAACACAGGAGACCAATTAGGAGCTACTATAATAGTTCTGGCAGGAAATGATGTGGCATGAACTGAAGCAGTGGTTGTGGGGGCAGAGATAACACTTAGGGTGTGGGCCTCATGCTGCCAGATGTGAGGAGGACAGGAGCAACCAGGCAAACTCTCAGGTTCCTAACTGGGCAGAATGCATGAATGGAGGGCTCCATTCCCCACAATCAGAAATGCAGAAGGAGAGGACAGTTAAGGGTGAAAATCATGCTTTCAAATGCGGCGTCAAACAGCATGAGTTTCCAAGGACATTCCTGGCACCTTCACTCATTAGTTACTTTATTTAAGCTCCCTGTGCCTCAGTTTCCGTTTGTTGTTCTTGTGACTTGTGTGCTCACTAAATCTGGCCAAGAGGTCAAGATTAAAATACAAG